AATCATGTCACTGTGTAGACATATTTAATATTGTTTTTCATGGATGATGACCTTAAAATAGGTCGAAAGCTTGCCAGTAACAATTTAATTTGTTTCTTCATCCAGACTATATCGACATTCATATTAGTTGCAACACTTTTACGTAATTTGTGGGCGTTTATTTTCCTTGTATTCTCATTGATTTACTATAAAGATGGATTGATTATATTTAATACAGCTCTTAGTGTGGCTTCATTGCCAAAATATTTAATAAATTATTATTCTACTTAAAAGCAAAATGGATGCTTATTCGGTTACAAATTATAACTGAGGGCAGAATATTGTTGATTTAATTCTGCCGGTTCTACCCTCTCAACCGTATCTATATGCATTACTTACAAATAATGGCTTTAATGGCTCATGCGTTTATTAATGACTTAAGTGATTTGTTTTGGGGGGGAAATTACTCCTGTATATAAACACATGATGAATTTAATTAGCAAAGTTTAATGTTATATTGGAACTAGCTTTGATATACTATGGGTTCAGAAATTCAAGAAATTATACGAAAATTATTTATATTGACTTCGGTATGTTATAATGAAAGTTAAACATCATCGGTGCGACAAAAAGGAGAAGTTGGAAATTTATTTCCCTAGAGTTTTCAATGGCCCATTGTCCACGTTCCCTAAATACGTACTTCGCTTGATTTCGCCAAAATCTGTGGAAGTCCCTGAAAGGAAAGTTAAGTTCTGAAGTGGATTATTATGAAACAGAGGAAATCATAACTTTAAGGAATTGATCCGATTGTTTTATACTCAACGACATGGCATTTTCTGAATTTAATTACTTTTAATGAAAGAAAAACGAACTCGATTTAAACTCCGCTTGATAAATTATTTGCAATATGGCCTTCAACGTAAATAAAGTTTTATACAAGTTTTGTTTGTTTCTGTTTAATTTCCCTAATAAAATCAAGTCAAGATATTATCCTGGGAAGGATATTTCTTTTTAAAAATAGGTGCAATAAAATATTAAAGAACGAAACGAATATTAATGCTTTTAATTAATAGCCAAAATGTATTTATTTAATGTTAATAAAACAAATTGAAACAGTCTTTTTAATCCGAAATGTAAACTTGCTGGATAATTGCACATTTTATTTTATTTTTTTAATTTTTAATTTAGCCCTCCTTTCTTTGCTTTATTTTTCTTGTCTTTCTTCAGAAGTCACCACTCACCCCAGAGTACTCGATATTCTCCCGGTTAGGGTTATACAACCCCTTCTTTTCGCGCTAATAAATTACATTCATTCCTATAAATAACATAAACACAACAGTCTATAGGAACATGGAAGTCATTAAGCGAGTTTTTTAAATATTTGGTACCAAAACTGTTTTTCTGAAGCTCCTTGCGCCAGTTATTTATAATTATACACCGTTAAACGTAATACTATATACAGATGTGTCTATTGTCTAATGACATTCGTTTATTATCTATCTAATAACTTTACTTTAATTTCTCAGTATAACATTTTACCTACTTTCAGTTTAGTAAACAAGTGAAACATCTATTCTCGAACATTCTACTAAAAATTTGCCTACTGAATAAGCAACTTATTCAACCCTAAGTCAAGGGACTGGATCTGGAATCAGACAATATAAATTTATTTTTAAAACATTATTGTGTATTAAATGTCTTATAATTATCGAATATCCGACAAAGGGGATAAACCGATTTTTTTCGCTCGGCCAAATTATTAAACAAACGCGCCGTATAAAGTGTAGAATTTGTTGAAATCGATCCAGTTACCCACTGGGAGGCCGGCTTATATCACCCCTTCACCCCGAAATATTATCGCCTTAAATCACTGAAAGAAAAAGCTTCTCCAGCTCAACAAAAGTAAAACAAAAACAATTATTCTATAAATTGCGATTAGGTTAATTATTTGTTTCTGTTTTAGCGTACAGCATTAAATTTCAAATTATTTTGAAAATTGTGTCGATTAATCATGTCCTACATAGTATCAACCTCGGCAGAAACGTCAGAATTGATTTTACTGTACCATTATTAAATTGGCACGAATTTGTAATTCTATTTATTGTTGTTTTAGAGAAATTTTATTAAATTACAACATAGTCATCATTTTCTTAATATTTGGTTATACATGTTATGATTTCAAAAGATTTGTCTTACTTCTATTTTACAATGAGTTTTTCTTTGAATAGAATAGAAATTATTATTCTATACAAATAAAACACTAAGTTGAAATAAGTATTAAAATAAATAAGTAAAAGCTTGTATTTGTTATCAGGAGCCCTGGTCCAAAATATAATAAATTATGAAAAGAAAAAATACACTTGTACGTAGACAAAAAAAAAGTTTAATTACATTGTTATATACTTACTAAATTCACTAATTTCGTGGTCCGCTTGAGCAATTAATATATTACAATTAATTAAGGTTTTTAGTTGAGATAAAAAAGTCAGTGTCACGAGCGGGATTCGAACTCACTATCTTCGGCTAGATACGCCGCTGTTCTGCCACTTGAGCTATCGTGACCTCGATTATTAGAGATTAAATTACATGTTATCTCAACTAAAATTAATTGAAAGGTATTAATTGGTCAAGCGGACCACGAAAACTAGTGAATTTAATAAGTTTAAATGACGTATACCATCACTAAACCTCGCTGTGGCCATTTCATTTGTCGCCGAGAATCAAATAGATTACACGACATTTGAAAAATGGCAAAAAGGAGGGAAAATTCAAAAGGTGGGGTTGAGATGGGAAGTTAGTGTCCGAGTGGATCGAAGTCACGATAGCTCAAGTGGTAGAGCTGCGGCGTATCTAGCCGAAGATCGTGGGTTCGAATCCCTCTCGTGACACTGACTTTTTTATCTCAACTAAAAACCTTTATTAATTGATTGTTATGTACTGTTGGAGAGTTTTATTTATTACGGCTTTTATAAAGGATGTAAAGTTATTATAACTGTTGTAATTAAAAATTAAGTGAAAAATTATAATATGCAAATAATGTATGGAAATTTTTGGTGATTAGTAAAGTATTATGGGATGGAAGGACTTTATTGTATTTAAAGAGGTGAATACAAGATTTTTTTAGGAATATTTAAAAGTTGAGCACTTTCGTATCATCATTGAGCTGCTTTGTACGATATTTTAGAAGTTTTTTAAAATATAATTTTGAATAAAGTACTATTAGCGATCCATACATGTTTAGCGGTCATAATTGACCTATTTAATTATTTCAATTAATTTCACTTTTCAACTAAAGTCTTGGTTGAGATGAAAAAGTTAGTGTGACGCGCGGGATTCGAACCCACGACCTTCGGCTAAATACGCCGCTGCTCTAATCGATTCAGTCGAAGGACGAATTCACTTTAGCTCAAGTGGTTAGAGCAGCGGCGTATTGAGCCGAAGACCGTGGGATCGTGACACTAACTTCTTTCATCTCAATCAAGACTTTAGAAAAAATTACAATTAATTGAAATTATTTGCAATCTTTAATGTCTGGTGTTTAGTGACCGTTAACCAATGATTATTTGGTCGTGAGATACGGTAGGTTTTAGAAAAATATTTTCTTTATCGTGTGAACGTTTCGATCTGTATTGAGATCATCTTCAGAGCCTGGGATTTATAAAGTTGTTTCAATTTTACAAAACATGTAGGATATGAAACATGCATTGACATGATGCAAAAACAAAATTAGAAATTAAATGTACGCTACTAGGTTTGTAAAAATGTAACGTGAGTTCTTTAGGGATGGTTGGGATAGTTTTTATGAGTTCTTGAGCTTTTAATTTAAATGTAACTAGATATATTTTTGGCCCACATTCACCCTAAAAAATTCATTCTTTAATGGTAATATGTACTCAAAGACATGATTTTAAGAAAGTTCTAAAAAGAGAGCTCGTGAGATATGCGCAGTATAGGATTCCAGGACGAGCTTATGTAAAAAATAATCCTGAGTTGATACAAACCGTGTTAATAAGTTCGAACGGGCAGAACACAAACAGTAGCGATGTTCTGAAAGCATCTTGTTCATCCTCGAACAAGAACCAGTAAACTTGAAAGCAAATTAGAAGTTTCCCAACCTATTGTAAACAAGATATGAGGAAAAGGCAGTGAACCATACTTCTCGAATTATCCTAAGCTCTACAAGCCCTTTGAAGAACAGAGATATTTGTCAGACAGATATTTCGAACCCCATCATCATGGATCAATGCCAAAAATCTTAATATTTGGTTATGATTCATCATAATCTTTGTTGTGCAATTTTTGTCATCTTTTGGATCACAATAAAACCAATAATTGTGATGATAAAACAGGATTCTATATTATGGGTGGCATCGGTGGTTTCAAGAGAAATTTGAACCCGGACGGTACGCTCCATGATACATAATGGCTTTTTGGCTAGGTGCAACTAAGAAAAAGCAGACTTGTTTTCCATCCCTCCTGCGTTTTCACTTTCACACATCTTTCTGACTAAACAACCCATTCCTTTCACGCTAATAAATTACATGCATTTCAATAAGCAAATCCTATACAAACATAGAAGTCTGATCACATTCACTCCCCAGTGTATTCGGATATTCCTCAGGGCGGGGTTGAACCTACTCGATTCCCGCTTAAAACTTACTTTTACTCACCATATCGCGTTATGCCTTTTACGATTTAACTTGTAATACTTTTAGAAATTCTTCAGAATGGTTATGCTTTTATTATCAATTGCTGGTGAGGGTTTTACTTATAGTATTTTCTTCTTGCCACGTGGACCTGTTCTCATAACCCCTGGGAAACATTTATACAAGAATTTTCCATTTTTAACCGAAAACTTTTGTAGACGAAGCAAACTTTTTTTCAGACCCAATCAAAAAATCCGCTGATTGGGGTAAATATATCTGACCTACAAATAATGAAATTAAACAAAATTCACACTTAAGATTAGTTTCTTAGCTATGAATCTGTGAAAGGTGCTTAACTAAAGATTTTTTTTCCAGGACGACGTGAGAAACGTTGCCAATTCCGGCAAATCGTTTGAAAAGAAGAGATGGATTCATGACCCTGCAAGTAAGTATTTTTATGTAATAATTTTTTTAAAAATATTAATTTAAAACTTTTATGTTTTGCTTTCTCATTTTCTTATTGATGGCCAATAATTTATATATTATTTCAATGGGAAAGCAATAGGAAGCCGGTATTGATGATTAAATTTCACAAGTAGAAAGGGTGTTTTAATACGTTTGCCCAGATCATTTAAATAGGCTGTTTTAAGCGGTCTGAGCAGTTCAAACAGCCTCCAGCCGCATTTTCCTAATGCGGTTTTTTTAATTAAATATTCTTAAATGCAAAAAGAAGTAGATTAGAATAACGAGCAGGTTTTTCTGTGTGCGACCCAAATGAAATTCGAGGGGGGGAATCTCTTCGATCCCCTAGTTCAGATTAGTCGCGAAAAATTACGAGGACGAAGATTCCAGTTTTCCAGCGAGATTGCCGTCACTGACGGACGGTCGATATAAATAAGGGAGATAAAAACGAAAAACAATGGAAGAGAAATGGTTTTTAGACCACTTTATCTGGTAACAATAAAAATAAATAAAATCAGAACAATAAAAGATTGGACAGTTTATATAAACTTAAATATATATTTATTAAAGATAATGAGTTATTATAATTACTGTTTGGAATAGTGTCAGAGTTAATAAAGTGATACACTAATTTTCCTTTTTCCTTTATAAATTTCAAATTAATGCGTGTTAAATCAACGATCATGTAAAAATTCACTATTGTTTTTTTTAAGTAAAAAGTTTCGTTAGCATTGAGGCCGTGAATAATTAAAACGTTGACATGGTACGTGATAGCTATATATATTGTACGATATAGTTTGGAATTGGGACTGAAAAGTCGTTTATGAGTGGTGAATTCCTTAAATATTCCTCTGTACCCCTAGCCTCCAGATTCCTATGCGTCTAATGGGCCAAGTTAGAAAATGCGGATTCCTTCCCTATTGTTTCACCGAAGGAAAATTCTTTATAAACGACTTTTCGGAACGGCTATAACGTAGAAATAAAAATGAGTTAGTCTTATTATTTATTAAGCTCCTTGTTGACTTTACTGCAAAATGTACACCGTGAAATTTTATCAATTATTCGACCACAACTTAATGCCGTAAAAAGAAATCAAAACTAATAAATGATTATTATAGGCACGTCTAATTTTGATCGTGAATCAATTAATCTTTTTGTGTGGGGATTCCAAGTCAACTGTTTATCCATGAAAATTCCAAGTTAACCCACAAGGTAGTCAGCGAGATTTCATTTATACGCACGTGGGGACAGCTACTTTTATGCAGGGTAAAATTTATCTGTTTTTTCCTTAGGTTTATTTTCATTCTGAAATTTGTAAACCATGGTATTAATTCATTCAGGCGATGTAAGTGTGGAGTGTTTATGGAAGAATCCGAATTATATGCCAGAACGTTGAATGATCAGCGAATGTGTTTTCAAATGTTAACAGGAGTCTCAATTAATTATTCTTTTTATGTAATGTCTAGGTTCTAATTTACGTATTTAATTATTTCAATTAATTTCACTTTTTATCTAAAGCTTGGTTAAGATGAAAAAAGTTAATGTCACGAGCGGGATTCGAACCCACGACCTTCGGCTAAATACGCCGCTGCTGTAGCCACTTAGTCGAAAGACGAATTCACAATAGCACAAGTGGTTAGAGCAGCGGCGTGTTGAGCCGAAGGTCGTGGGTTTGAATCGCGATCGTAACAATAACTTTTTTCATCTCAACCAAGGCTTTAGATAAAAAGTATATATAATTTTAGAATTTTCAATTATGAGCAATATCCTTCGGAAAACAAGTTTTTCTCGAATTTTGAAGGATTCATAGGACATTAATAGGCCGATAGGAATTCGGAACATCAGAAGGTTTATAATTTTAATTATTGTTCTAAGTTCAGCGTTATACAGATTAATCTTTATGTAAGGTATTGGTTGAAATGAAAAAGCTAGTGTCTCGAGCGGGATTCTAACCCACGACCTTCGGCTCAATACGCCGCTGCTCTAGTCACTTGAGTCGAAAGACGAATTCACAATCGCACAAGTGGTTAGAACAGCGGCGTATTGAGCCGAAGGTCGTGGGTTCGAATCGCGATCGTAACACTAACTTTTTGCACTCTAACCTGAAGTCACAATACTTCAAATGGTTATTGATTAGTGGTACTAGCTTTTTCATTTCAACCAATACCTTACATAAAGATTAATTAATTGAAAGTTGTACAGATTTTTCAATTAATTAAGGTTTTTAGTTGAGATAAAAAAGTCAGTGTTGTCACGCCGCTGCTCTACCAGCCAGCTCTAGCCGAAGAACATGGGTTCGAATCCCTCTCCTGACACTGACCTTTTTATCTCAACTAAAAACCTTAATTAATTGAAAGATATTAATTGGTCAAGCGGACCACGAAAACCAGTGAAGTTGTGCAGATTTATAAACTAAAGTAAACCTCTGTGGGGCAAATGATGTAAAATTTGAGTTGTAATTAAATCACCTCCAGCAGCTTTTCGAGGAAGTAGTTTGAATAAATTCTTTAGCATGAGGAGAGAGTTGCAAAGGGATATTCAAGTCGAGTTCAATGTAATACCAGTAATTCTGGTCAAGTACATATTATGATGCGGAGTGAATATTTTTGAAAGATGCTCTGAAAAATTCAAACAAAAAAACGAGAAGATATATAACAAAAATTTATTTGCTTTTTCTAGTATTGTGTTTTTTAAAAATCAGTTCTAACCTAAATCTATATAATTTATTAGTTAAATATTTCTAATACATAAACATAACATAACTGTAATTGCAATAATAATAGTTATATAATAACATGTAATATGTATATGGAGCATGTTAAAAATTAACGAATTAAAACAAGTTGAGGGATTTTGTTCCCTTTGCCGTATTTATTTCTTGATTTGTTCTTCGTTTTTAAGTTTGTGTTTTTATCCATTTTCCGTTTGTAATATCTTCCCGTGGGTCTTTTTCCCCTGAAGTCTCATTTTTTCCGGCGATATTTTCTTTAATTCTTAAGGGAATGCGAAACTAATTTTCCAAAGACGAGCGAATCGCTGACGCACACCGGCTCGAAATCAGCGTGAAATTGCACTCGCGGATGGCGGGAACACGATCTCGAGAAAAAAGTTTTCCTCTTTTTTTTACGAAAATTAAATTAACAAAAAGAACACTTGTTTAGGGGAAATCCGAAATAATACACTCAGTTCAATTTTTAAAAAAGTATAAATATACGTGGTGTATTTGCAACTAGAGGACAACACTCAAGGTGTTGCAACTAGTCCAAAAATGTAGTTAAATGCCTCCAACCACGTATTTCTATCTCAACCCGTTCCAGACATATGCCGTTTTAAAGGTTTTTCACGGTTTTTTGTAATAAAAGCCCAATTTTCTCAACTTTTACACATATTTTCAATGTTTGACCAGATTTTTGAAATCAGCGTTAAATTTTTTAAGGAAAATGCACTTTCAATGAATTCCATTTCTAATAACAGTTCAAAAACAATATAAATTGCAGTAAAGTTGAACATTATATTGTTTTTTTTAATTATAAAAGTTGCTGGAACTGGCATCCTTCTTGTAAAAAACACTCTGTCGACATCTGGTCAGCACCGCTGATTTAGCCCTTTGAATCTCTTCACTGTTGGCTCACATCTCTTCACATGATTCTAGAATCCTTGCAATCAGGTGTTTTCAGTCCTCAATGCGACTTCCGACTTAAGCCTACCCCACATACGAAAATCCAATGCCGTCAAAGCTGGGCTTGGGGCCGGCCAACGCAATGGTCCATATCTCCATATGTATATATATATATAATGCAGGGTGAGCGACCAAGACCCGAGGGGTTAAATGCCTGGGTAGACTCTTACCCCATCCCTAAAAGGTCCGGGACTTGGTCGGCTCACGTGTCCTGCATAAATCTCTTGGCCTGTTCACAGACCCCCAAGATTTTGGACTACTTAATCTCGGGGAGTGATTTGGGGATCCTCCTCTCCTTCAAAAGTCTCGAATCTAGACCTAGCGTACCTATCGCACTCTGCGAGGTAGTGCCGTTTCTTCTTTTATTTCACACAAACTGCAAAAGGGGTCTGGTAGAATACACATTACGGAGAGGTGTCTTCTCAGTGGGCAATGGCCCGTAGAGAACAGCCATTTCGATTCTTCTGGTTTGGTCTCCTTAACAAACTCCTTCGATTGCCTGTGTCCGGGGGACAGATTCCATTCCCTAAGGAATTGTTTCATACCCCAGTTTTTGATACTCTCTTTCGCTGTGCTTATAGAGTGAGGTAATAATACCGGTTGTGGCCCGACTTTGCTCTGCCGCACCGACCGCTTGGGCGCTGTAGGGAGCCGAAAACGGCTTAGGAGCAGTGTCCCGGGCGGACCCGTGGTGGTGGAGCAAATTTTCTTATTTATTTAATTAATTTATTTTATTTTATTTCTTCATTTATTTATTTGTTTATTTTTTTTTATTCATTATTATATATATGATTTTTTTTTCTTTCCTTTGCTCTGCCGCACCGACCGCTTGGGCGCTGTAGGGAGACGAAAATAGGAACAGTGTCCCGGGCGGACCCGTGGCGGTGGGACAAATTTACCTATTTATTTTATTAATTTATTTTATTTTATTTATTCATTTATTTATTTGTTTAGTTATTTATTTTTTTTCATTTCTTTCATTTGCTCTGCCGCACCGACCGCTTGGGCGCTGTAGGGAGCCGAAAACGGCTTAGAAGCAGTGTCCCGGGCGGACCCGTGGCGGTGGGACAAATTTACTTATTTATTTTATTAATTTATTTTATTTTATTTATTCATTTATTTATTTGTTTAGTTATTTATTCATTATTATATATGATTTTTTTTTTCCACATCTGCTCGTTCTTTCTGACCCCCAAGTTCAGCCGCTTCCGTCTATAATAAAAAAGCTAGACAAAGCGCCAAAAACTGTAAATAGCCGGCAACGGCTTAGGAACAGTTAACAAGAAGGCCAAGACGGTTGTGGC